AGAGCAAAGCTTCAAGTTTGGCTCTTCCCTAAATGGTAGGAAGGCCAAGGTATTTTCCCAAGTTGTCGACCTCTGACATACTAAAAACACCACAAATCTCTTCGCAAATATTCCCTGGAGTGTTGGAGCTGAAGAATAGGGTGGATTTGGAGAAATTTACTCATTGTCCAAAGGCATTACAATATGCATTAAGAAAGTGGACCAAATTCATGCTATTTTGCACTAAAGCTTTTAGAAAAATTAGAGTATCATCAGCAAATTTCAAGTGGGAAATTGTAGGGGCAGCGTTACTGAGTCTGATTCCCTGCAAAACACCAGTTAAACAGGCTTTTTGGATCATCAGAGAAAGCACTTCACTTACGAAGAGGAAAAAGTAAGGTGAGATAGGATCACCCTGCCTTAAACCACGAGAAGGCTTAAAGCTCTTACTTGGATGACCTTCAAGCAACACCGCAAATTGAACAGTAGTTACACAACTCATCACCAATCTGATCCATAAGGGAGCGAAGCCCATCTTCTACATAATTGATTCAAGGAAGTCCCACTCAATCCTGTCATAAGCTTTATTCATGTCCAATTTCACCCAAATTTCGAATTTTTTCTTGGATTTTTTCAGTTTGAGGTAGTGGAAAACCTCATGAGCAATTATGATGTTGTCCTGAATCTGACGATCTGGGACAAATGCATTCTAACTATCATAGATTAAGCTAGGCAAAAGAGGCTTGAGCAGATTTGCCAGGATTTTGGAGAGGATTTTGTATGAAAAATTGCAGAGACCAATAAGGCAGAATTGTGAGATAGATTCTGGACATGCAATTTTAGGTACAAGGGCAATATGAGTGTTATTTAGAGTTTGTGGGGAGGTAGTACCATTGAAAAAGTCGTTTGTTGTGCCCTGTACTTCAGCTTGGATGATATCCCAATAGGACTGGTAAAAAATGCCTCGAAAGCCATCAGGCCCAGGTGCTCTCATACCTCCCATTTGGAAGGCAGCTTATTTAACTTCTTGCTCTGTAATTGGACTAGTCAACACAATATTCATTTCATCAGTCACCACACTTGGAACACAATCTATGGCCTCACTATAATCTCTGTTTCCACATGTTGTAAATAGCTCCTTGAAATGAGCTTCAATTGTGTGCCTGATCTTCTTTGGATTATCCACCCACCGGCCCTCATGGTCTTTTATTCAAGCAATTTAGTTTTGCCTCTGCCTCCGGATTGTTGATTGGTGAAAGTATGAGGTATTTGAATCCCCTTCATTCAACCACTTAATTCTAGACCATTGTCTCGAGTAGCATTCATTTCTTCCCCATAACTCGTTGATCTTGTGTGTTATCACTTTCATGTCTTGATAATTCATCTCCCAATTATCCTGCATGAAGCGCAGCTGCTCCATTAGACAATCAATCTCCTCGTTGTTCTTAAACTTTTCCTTACTCCAGATTTTTAATTGGGTCTTGCATTGATTCAATTTATACCTCCATCTCTTGACCCAGGGCCCATCAAAAGTGTCACTCCAGCACTTTTCAACTAGTCTATAACTCTCCTCTTCTCGTGCCCAATTAGCTTCAAACTTGAAAGGCCTTTTGCTCCGACGAGATCGTGGTTCACAATTCACAATTAAGGGACAGTGGTCAAACCCCACAACTGTCTCATGGTATACGGTGGTGTTTGGCCAAGCAGTTTGCCATTCATAATTAACCAAACCCCTATCAAGCCATTCTTGAACCAGATCA